ACCATGACCACCCTGTGTTTTTTTTTTTTCAGCTGATACTACTTAAACAGCATATCTGCTGTAGTGTGGTTTTAGCATTAGCACTCAGAAACCGAGCAGTGTTATCTGATCATGCTAATGAGATGTGGTCTGAGTAAAAGGAAGTTTCAGGGTGAGAAATGACCCCCATGCTACAACAAGAGTGAGAGTTAAAAGCTGAAGATGTTCTTAATGTCACTGCTGATTTTCCTCTTCACTGAAGTACATGTCTAAGCACTTTTGATTGATTCATCAAGTAATTATGATTTTTCATATTATTTATTTAATAAGATGAAGAAAACAAGACATTATTACTACATAAAATAGAGTTTTTGTAAAACTAAAGGAGGAAACTACACATGGCAGTTTGACTGCAGTACATTTTGCAGACTGATTTAGTGAAACAAGGAAGAAAACAGGTGTATGTGAGAAAGTCAGCAACACTTTTTAACCACATAAAGTTTAACAGTTCAAATCCTCAAAGCTCCTCCTGTTCTCTGCAGTCATTCTTCAGCTTCAGGAAATGGACGTCGCCTAATGCAGGTTGGAGAGACTCTTATTGTTTGTGAAATGAGTATTTTATTCATAGTTTAATGGGGAGAGAAATGAACTGATACATTTGTATTGTTTCTGTTATGAGTTTAGTTCTTCTTAATGAGATATTTGTCCTCTGTGATCATTTCTAATGTAAGAGAAATGCTGAGACACTGAATGTATTTTTTATTACACGGCTTTACTCAAATCACACAAAAGTAATCCAGTTTTAAATTGTATATATGATGCATATTTAGCCTTGGACAAAGTTAGTTCAGGAAACTGTAAATATTCTGGAGGTGGAAGTTGATTTAAACCCCATTCTGTTTGAGAAAAGTAACTTCACTGAATAACAGAAGGCTGTATGTTATACTTTACAGTGTGGATGAACATTTCATTGCAGTTGGTCACTGATAAGATCCCAACTCTATATGGTTGACATCGGCTATTAATGGGCTTGACTCCACTTGAATATTTAACTAATACTAATATATTGATACTAATATTAATCTAATACAGACCACTTCTATAAACCTCTGAAGTCATAATTTTGTAACTGGTGACAAAATAAATTTCATTTTTGATAATCACAGCTGTCAGGTCACAGTGTAAACTAAAAAGCTCCACTGCTGATACTTTCTGGTATTAGGACATTTTTCCAATTGTTGCTGGATCCTCTGAATTAAGGAGTTGTTAAGGATTTAAAACATGACTAAGCTAACACTACTCTGCAATGAATAAATATCATAAAAACAGTTTTTTGGGGGCTCTAAGCAGGATTTTTGGCTAGTTGATGTACTGTAAAATAATATGCTAATTAATAACCTTGATTACCACAAACTCTGAAAATTACGTACATGTTTAACTGGCTAATTGTGTACTGCTGATGACTGGATGCTCGTTTGAGGTTCTAATAAATTACAATTTAGATTACAGATAATGTCCTCAGCATTCCAGATTCAGGTCTCTCCACACAGTATTTCTTGCTTACCCAGCTATCTTTAAGCTTAGCTTCATCTAACCCTGCAGGGAGTAGTTCATTAGACAGACCTCAGATCCACTACTTGTTTTTCTACTAAAAGCCAAAACAAATAGCATAACATTAATTTTTCCTCTCACTCTAGTATTTTAGACAACACAATTTTTTCACGTTACTAACCTGAAATACAGTAGCAAAGTGGTAAGGTAGGGGGACAGGTTTCCATGTTACAGAGTTCACTGCAGTTATGAGAGAAATCTAGAAATGGACATACAGCAAACGTCCACCTCTCATGCCCTCTGCTGTTACTGAATAAGTAAAGCAAGCAGATTCTCTAAGCTAGAAATTCTCTGCAGCATATTAGTAGCAAAAGGTGATTATATGAATAATAATGAATGTATGATTATACCCCAAAAAAAAATACAACCTCCACCACATTTCAGAAAAACAAAAAAAACTAAATACAATGTATACAAAACAAATGTGACCACATTTTTGTGGGCATCACACGCTCCCTGACAAAAAGAAATGGTGCAAAGTTTCCTTTCCCCATTTACCAGTCATCATCTCTTTCAACTAAAACTCTGTTCTTCTTGTTTGATCTCTCTTCAACAAGTAAGTCTAGCAGGTGGTAAATAAGATGGTGTTATTAAAGGTGGAGTACGAGTTGTGCACATGTAAGCGAATAATTTGCAATACTTTGCCCCATTTCTGGAATAGTTTCCTGGTGGCTCCACTGGCTGCTTTGTGTACCTCATCGTTCAATGACGTACCCACTTCCATTAGCTTTATCGCTTCTTTGATAGCCTCATCTGACTGCTGTGCCCCTATCAGCTCATCATAGCTAATCAGAGACAAATGGTCATAGGGTGGGAGAGGGGAGTCTTGGGAAGAAAGGTTGAGAGCTGAAACCCAGGCTACAACTGTTTGCTTGGCTACTCTGCTTCCATCCCAAACAGCCCATGCCACATCCTCCGAACACTCATTAGTACAGGACTTGGCATGTTTTTCAATATCAAATAGGTCATGTGACAGCATATCAGCATCGATGTTGGACTTTTCTGGCCTGTACTTCATGGCAAACCAGAAATCTGAGAGTTCCCAGCTCATAGATTGGCTTCACTATACCAAAAGGTCCTGGGTGTAGGAACGATAATAGCCCAGGAGCCCAGTGAGCTTCCTCGCTTTTCCAACTGTCTGTGGTGTCTGACTGGTTAACAGCTGTACTGCCTCCAGGTCTTTGGGTCAATCATCACTCCCTGAGCCAACATAAGGGGACCAACATATGAAATAGATCACATTTCTCAGGTCTCAGGTTTACCCCAAGACCCTCTAAGGCCTGAAGAACTTTGGATTCCTTCCATATAATCGTCAAATGTTTTTGCATAACAAACATCATCAAGATACAGTAGTAATCTGCAAACTAGGAATGCATCCAATATTGTTAAGGTTTCTTAGAGAAAGCTGCTGATTCTTTCCACAGCATTTTCTTAACTTTTGCCTGTTCCTTATCGCTAAGGTGGTTGAGGTCAACAGGAGGCTGCAACAAGTGTAGACCAGCTTTAGTCAATGACAGTCATGCAGCACTGCTAACTTCCGCTGTGGCCTTAGGCTTCTCAGGTGGACCCATCACAATAACTCTTACTACAGTTTGGACACTACCGAGAGCCATCTTCCTTCATAGAGTCAGAGTATGTTTCATACTATTTCTCACAGGTATAGTAACCTTGTGTTACTTTCCTAACAGCACGTGTGACTGTTCTTTCATATTTTGAAAACATGTACTGCTGACATCATCACTGCAGCAGCACAGACTTGAAAAATATCAGTTTGCCGAATTACCTGAAAATGGTGTGACCTCTTCCCTGTCAGTGGAGGCAGGTGGGTGGAGCTCCTTTTGACGATGAGGTAGAGAATGAAGCTGCCTTTATGGTGGTTGAGGAGCTTGTCTCTTTCTTTTAGGTGGTGCAGGTGTTGAGGAAACTCTGTTTAGTAGTTCATCCTTGATTGGTGATTGCGATGGGGGCAGGAGGGTTGTTGTTCTTCTGATGTTATTCTGTGGTTTTGGAGTGATGACAGTGTCATTGGAAGTCTGTGCTGAATTGTCTTCACCAATGGTGGGGGACAAGTTGCTCATGGAAAAAATGAGGTTCTCTGTCATCGATTTATCTGAAAAATGAAAAATTCTCTCTTCCCTAAAAACAGGTTACAGTTTTCAATAAAGTTCGGTCTGTTTGTCCTGCAGCTTTTAGTCAGTTATTTAATCCAAGTAGCACTGAGAAGATTTCACTTCTACCTAAAGTCACTTTTTAATGACTCCTGCTTCCTTGTGTCATTCTTCCCTACATGAACAATGATCTGCTTCACTGTTGTGTATTGAGTACTGTAGGAAGCTTTTCATTCACCTCAGAGACTGTAATGCTTGGCACACCTTGAACTATGGGTTTGTGGTTTTTTACACCATTAACAGAGTCATCTCCACAAACAAGGGTGTCTGCAAACCGGGGCCCAGTGGCTCTACCTGGGGGCTCTGACCGGCTGACACTTCTGGTTCTTTCTGCATTCTGATCTCTGCACTTAAGACACTCACTGAGGCCTTGCAGTGGGTCAAATCTGTTCTGCAAGTAGAGTGACTGGGACTGATATTCTCCTCTGCCTGGGTGCAGTGGTGTCTGAGCAGCAACTATAGCATTAGCAGTAGCATGAAGAGCTGTGCTAGCAGGAGTGGAGGATGAGTCTACAGAGCTACATGTAGCACAGCGTTTGGGTTTAGCTCCAATGTGGACCCACTGCTCATTTCTGCCAGCTGTACTGACATTAGCAGCTCCATCCATGTGTTCTGCTGGCCCAGCTCTGTGTGTTTCCACTGACTGCTGCTCTGTTAAGCCCTCCACTTGTTGTCTGCTGCTATAACTCCCTCATGCTACTCCTTGTATAAAGAAGGAATGCCAGTCCAGTCCAAACTCTGATAACAAGCTCCAAAAACTCACCCCCAAAACTGTCATTTTTTGCAGAAGACCATAACAATTCTGACAGCACCTGTGCTCTGAAACCTGCCGTTGTGTAAATTTCTACTTTGGTAGCCATAAGAAACTTTTCTAATCCCTGTGTCTAAAGCAGCACTGTAAAAATACAAAAACAAGAAAAATCTACTTTTGGATTTGTAGTGATCTTGACCTTCCTATATAGATAACAAGCTGTAGCTTGAAAAAAGAACACAAACTTCTGAAAATGAAGAGAAGAAATGAAAGATAGCAGAGAAGCATGTGAACGGCAGGGAAGCAGGAAGCAAAAACAAAACAAAAAAGTGCATGTATGAACTCTGCCTGCTTTCTTTCTGCTGACTGAGCTTTATCTGCACTATGAAAGTGCTTTGACAGATGCAGACATATCGATGACCCTTGAATTTGCATAAATAACTTAATTTGCATAAATTAACATTATTTGGTTAAATATTGTGATCATACAGGCTGAACTGCTGATCTCACTCAGAATGTCTCTGACTGTTTCTCTGCTGTTTCTGCTCTTCATCTCTGGTGAGTCAGAGCTGTTACTTCTCACTGAACTCTGTACAGTTATGAGGTCATTTTTATATATGATACTGTGGTCAGTTGTGCTAAACTACTGTAAGACCTGTGGAGCTTCTCACTTTGTGCTTTTATCTCCAAATGAGCTCAGATTATTACAGCTGATCATTCAAACTCAGCTGAAATGAACAGTCTTAGAAATGAGCTGAAGTGGAGACTTTATGCAGCATTTTTACTGACTGAGACCCAAACAGTAATAATTTACACATTTCTGTGTTTTGTGTTGCAGGAGTTGTTGCTCAGGATGGGTGGGCTGTGGATTACAACTCTAAATCTATCTGTGCTCTAAAGGGGTCTGCAGTGACCATGGAGTGTACTTACACACCTCCAAGTGGTCACTCAGTCCAAAAAGCTTTCTGGACTAGCGAGCTGGTTACATCTGGTTCAGAACCTCCTGATCTGTCAGATGATCCAGAGTACAGAGGCAGAGTTCTGTACCTCGGAGATGAACACAGTGACTGCACTCTCAGATTTAAGACTGTGAGAGAAAAGGATCAAAGTAAATACTACTTCACATTTATAACAGACCAACCTGGAGGAAAGTATCAAGGTGCAGATGGAGTTGATCTTTCAGTCACAGGTAAGATCCATCAGCAGAAATAAGACACTGTACTTCATTCACTGGTGTTCAGGATCACAAAGCAGTTCTGTAATAGAATCACATCAGTCCTTCATAGAACACCTTACATTATTATGTGATTAAAATATTTGTAGATCAAATGTAACGACTTCATCAGAGCTGTAAGTTTGTTCAGTCTGTGATGTTTAATATTACGTCTACATTTGTGCAGAAATATTCACAATAACTCACTCAGCTAGTGTGAGTCTCCACAGTGTGAGTCTGTTTTCTCTGGTTCTCAGATCTCCAGGTGGAGGTTCCTGAGAGAGTGATAGAGGGAGATAAAGTCACTCTCACATGTAGAACCACCTGCAGTCTGACAGTCAGACCAACATTCACCTGGTACAGAAATGGACATCGTTTATCCTCCAGTACTGACCAACTCCACCTGCAGTCGGTCAGCAGGGAGGATGCAGGCAGGTATCACTGTGCTGTACTGGGTCTGAACTCTCCTGAGGTCACTCTTAATGTCAGATGTAAGTACAGATTCATTTCTTTGTTCATAAATAGATAAAAGATTTCATCATTAACTGGAACTGAATCTGATTCTGGATCAGCTCTACAACTCAGAGATGATTCTGAGAAGTTTATACACTCTGAGTGGAATCAGTCTAAACTGAGTCACAGTAAAATCATGACTTTTATGTGAGAAGATGAATATCAGTAAAATGTTAACTGGTTTTATTGAACTGTTAAAACACAGAAACACAGCAGTGAAGCATTAAGTGATCGAGTGCTGAGATCCAATTTGAGCTGCATAAAATGTAAAAGTTTATTAAAGGCTGTTTGAAAATCTTTACACTGATGTTTATAGATTTATAATAAATATTAACACTTTCAGTATTTACCCCTTAAAAGCCCAGAGCCCAAAGTTCTATTACACTCTTCTATAACCTCAGAATAGCCCAGCTAGTTTGCATTGCAGTCTCTGTAGTTACTGAATAATAAGCCTTAGTGTGTAATAAGCCTGTTACTAAGCCTTTACTCACACTGGCTTTATTCTTCATCACTAACCTCCATCAGACCTGGGGGGTACTCTACAAAGCAGGATTTCTTAGTTAGCAAGAAAACTTAAGCCCAAAGATGAGGACTGTCCAATGGGAATGCCCCTTAGCTCTTTTCCTATTGGACAGGCTTGACTTTGGGTTTAAATTATCTAGCTAAACTGAGAAATCCTGCTATATGGAATACCCCCCTGCTCTTTCAGCCCTATCAGTCTTCCTCAGCCTTAGTCTTCCTCAGCCTCTCTCTCTCTCTCTCTCTCTCTCTCTCTCTCTCTCTGTGTCTCTCTTTGCCTTTTTATGTTTTGATTAAATTATTATTCATTATTTATAAAACCTTAAGGATTAATGAGAGATCAGTCATTTAATATTTGGTTTGAACTCCAGGTTGAGGAGTCATTAGGGGTGTAAAGATTCTGAAATTGAGACCAAAATCATGACACAAAGTCCTCAGTCTCATGTTGTGATTCCAGATGATGATGAATGTTTACTGAATGGATTTGTTTGTTATAAATCTACAAAAGACACTGTACTGTAATATACTGGAACTGTCAGTGATCTTAATTATACCATGATATACATTTTTAATACCATCCACTACTAATATAACCAACTATAACACATGTAAATCACTAAATTATTATTCTACTTATTGATTTATTTATATTTATTTATGTAGTTAGTTTATGTTTAACAGCATTAATCTACCATGTTCTTTAGTGTTCTTCTCTTTCCAGATTGTTGGTGATGTACTAAAACTGTTTTACTATTACACAGGTTATTCACTAAACACTTTTCATGTATCCACCTTAAATCCATCAAGTTGTCCAGAAAGCTGTAGCTGCTCTGGAATAAAACCCAACAGCTCAGATATATTAGTGTAGCCCTTCCTCTGAATCAGTCTGATTCATTTTAAAACACGTTTCAAATGATCTCTGATATGATATAACGGTGTGTGTTGGTGAGCTCTGAAACAATGTCTTTGTATTTGAGACAGAGTTCATAATGAAGTGCTGTATAGTGGTCAGTGTCCAATAGAATAGTTCCAATCTTGGATATGCAACGTCCAGCAGCCCTGAAAAAAATGGACAGTGGGCTTTTAGGGAGATAGGAGTGAAGGAAATGCTGCCTGAATGGCATATTAGTGCCATCTACAGGGCAGAGTGGGGAATGCGCTTAAGTTTTCTCTGTATATCTCAGGATAATTATCTCATTTAAAAAAAAATATTGAAGAAAAAAAATCCCATGATGTTTCTGAGGCAGAGGAACTCATGATTTTTCTTTTTTATAGTCATGTCTTTTTGGGGGCTCTTTGATTTAAGAAGTATCTTACATTTCTGAAAATGGCTCATCAGTTAGCTAATGCTAGCGTTAGCCTCTCCCCTTTTCTTTACTTCACATAAAAATCTAAAGTTAAATGGCCTTCAAATGACCAGGAAAAAACTTGTTAACCAGCTATACTGACCATAACTCCACACTGTAGACAGTCACTCTACTTACTACTGACTACAGTCAGTTACTACTTACTGATTCACTCTGTATGTGATGAGTTTTAACTCTAATGTTATCTAATGTTAATGTCTGATTCACATGCAGTAAAATAAACATAATTCTATGTAGTTTCTTGTGAGATCTAAATATTCAGTATTCAGTCAGGATGAATTTCATCTTCAAACAATCATGAAATGTTTTGGATAACAGAAACTCTGAGTCATTTTTGGAAATTAATCTTAAATCTGCAACAGTGATCTTCATCTACTGAAGTGAATGATGGAAATATGCAAATACAAATGAGATATTATCTATAGTTATACTGAATATCACTTCAAACACGAAAGCAGCCTTATAAAGTGTAATCTGTCTTTCTACCTCTAGATCCTCCAAAGAGCATCTCAGTCTCCATCCGTCCCTCTGGTGAAATAGTGGAGGGCAGTTCAGTGACTCTGACCTGCAGCAGTGATGCAAACCCACCTGTGCAGAACTACACCTGGTTTAAAGGAACATCATTAGTAGCAAAAGGAGAGACTTACACAATGAACAAGATCAGCTCTGTGGACAGTGGAGAATACAAGTGCAGATCCAGTAATGAACATGGAGAGAAACTCTCTGAAGCTCTAACTCTGAATGTTTTGTGTGAGTAAATTCTGTTTACTTGTTCCACTTGTTCTTTCTCTATTTCTACACTTTACATATTGTAGCAGTTCCCTTTTGTAAATATCTAACGTCTTTATTAGAGTGATATTCTTATTTTTAGATCCTCCACAGAGCGCCTCAGCATCCATCACTTTCTCTGGTGAAATAGTGGAGGGCAGTTCAGTGACTCTGACCTGCAGCAGTGATGCAAACCCACCTGTGCAGAACTACACCTGGTTTAAAGAAGGTGGAAGCTCACCTGTAGGATCTGGACACAGTTACAGCTTCATCTTTGACTCCAAAAGCAGTGGATGGTACTGCTGTGTGGCTCTGAATGAACATGGATCTATAAAATCAGCTGCAGTGCCTGTCAATTCAAAAGGTATTTTAATAATGACATGTAAATTTTAATAGATGTTTACTGAGACTTTTGAAGGTGATTGATAGACTGTATAAACACCTGCTCTGGTCTCTCAGCAGAACGCTGTATGCCTCTGTATGTGGTGGTTGGAGTTGGACTCTGTGAGGTTGCAGCGTTTATTGCGGCTGTTTTCTTTATGTGGTAAGAAACAGCATCTGTATCAGTATGTGTGTAATGTTCATCCATTTGCATCACTTCTTTCCATCTTCCTTCGACTAGCAAAACTACAGAGTACTGAAAACACTGCAGTGCTGAGCAAAAGTCAAAGACCACCCTTCAGTTAGTTTCCAGTCAACACCCCCATAAAGTAGATGCTACTTATTTGCTTTGACGAGAAAAAAAATGTAAGAAATCTGCAGGGCTATTTTTTCACACCTCTAAAGTTCAGTTTGTTGCATTTTCTGCTTCTCACTAACCAAATCATCCCAAACACATTCAGTGTTGTTGAGGTCTGGACTCTGGGGTGGTCAGTCCATTATTCTGAGAACTCCAGCAGCTTCTTTGTTTCATTTGTAAATGTCTTTCTTCGTCTATTTGCTTTTCTCTGTAATGGCTTCTTGACAGCTACTCATCCTTTCAGACCCATAGTGCTCAGTTGTCTTCTCACAGTGGAAGGATGGACAGAAACTCCTGTGGATCTGAAGCAGCTCGATTTTCTCCTCTCTCTCAAAGATAAACGCTTAAGTGCTGTTTATCTGATGGGGGTAGTTTTGGTGGTCTGCTGGGTCTTCCAGGTGGTTGTTAGGAGTTTAATTTTCTCTGTAGCTTTTAATCATAATAATCATACAAATCATTTTCCAGGTTTGGAACCTCCTAGTTTTCACTTATTTTATTTTACTTTTCCCTCCTTATACAAGTGGAGTATATCTAATCTGCTCAGAAACACTTTCTGACAAATGAATAACTTGTACCTAATGGCTGTTTTAACTGGAAATGCAGGGGGTCTCTGACTTTTGCACCATTTTGCACCATTAACTCTTTTCTGAAAGCAGGAACAAGAAGAAGAAGAAGAGGACGATGGAGGAAGCTGACCACCAGGTGAGCTGTTAAAGCTATTGGAGTGAAGCTGAACTGCACAGTTTAGTGTTTGTGCTGCTGTAACTCATCTGATTAAACTCCTGAAGGTTGTTTCTTACCTGTTGAGTTGATTTAGTGGGTTATTGCAGAGTAAACACTACACTCTGCAGTGTAGAGGAGCTCCAGCAGCTGGAGTCATTACAGATCTCCACCTGTAGATGGCAGTACTGATCTAAGACGTGTCTGTAGAGAAGCACAGGTGTGGAGTAAGAGAGCTGTCTAAGGTGCTGATTCTGAGCTCTGCAGTTTGGGCTCTACAGCACAGTCTGTGATTCAGTCTCAGCACCTCCACACAAAAACACTCCATGAACATTACAGATCAAAACTATGGAAGCAAACAGTGATATAGGTTCTATAAGATTCTACAATTCATTAAATTTTCCAACAAGCAAAACATCATGACATGTTTGCTGACATTTAATTTAAACACAGAAGTTCAAGAATCATCCATTGGTTTATTTCACAAATGTGCAGAAACATAAAAGAGCCTCAAATATGCCAGACTGTCATTACAGGAGGATATAAATATTATATCCCGTTATCTCTTGAATGAGGATTGTAAATTGTAATTTAGAGAGTTAAATTCTTATTTATATTCATCTGTAATGTAAATAATGTATGTTTATCAGTGAGAACTAAAACTGTTGATGCTCTCTTACTCTTCTCTCTGCAGAATGTTGACCCTAATGCTAAGGACGACACGTACACAGCTCTTGACCCCGTGTCCAGGTCCTCTGATGATGTGTACAACACACTCACAGTAAGTGTCTTTTAAAAAACTCAGTTTATTCAGACAAGAATGGTGTCCAATGTGGTGTCTGAATGAATGTGAAAACTTACCCTACAAGCTGGGGTTCACTGTAACACTGAGGGGTTAGTGACAAAATTAAAGTCTCA